AAACAGTAATGAAAAGAAATATTAAAATTTTTACATATTCAAGATGATATTAAGTAGTTAAGATTTTTTTAAAAATATCAAAAAAAAAATTGATTTAATATACAGTATATTATAATTATTAAATTATTCTTTACATTACAACTTTGACTTTACAGTTATGGATTCAAAGAGATTAAATTTCAATATACTTTTAGTAATACTCTGAAATTGTAATTTTTAGTTGATACAAACTATCAAATTTAGGGATTCTATAGTCAATTGGAATATAACTTTAAAATTTTCTAGTAGATACTTTAGAAGATTTGATTAGCTTAAGCTGCCAAATCTAGAAACAAAGATATTAAGCAGGATACAGCTTCATATATATAGTATTTTATTTAAAAATCATAATAATATATACATTATAAATCGATTAAAATTATTTAAATTTGATAGAATTTTGAAAATAAATAAATGGATACTTTAAAAAATTATTTTATCTAAAATTATTTCATAATCATGAATGTACTTATGGAATAAAAGAAATTTAATTGAAAATATATTTGAATTAAATATGATTTCAATTATTTATTATATATTACATAGTAATTTCTATTATGATATGGTTTTAAAAAATATGTCTAAATTCATTTTTATTATACATATCCTTAATTGTTTAATTGTTTTATTTTAATACATGTTTTAATTTTCATAAAAGTTTTTAAAACAAAAAAGAAATAAATTCAATGATTTGTTTTTTTTTTAAAAAAAAAACAATAAAAATTAAATTTTCTAAATAACTAATCATAGAATAATCATAAAAATAAAGGCTTTAGAATTTGGATTATAAAGATTTTATTTTATATTATTATTTTTTTTTAAAAACATGCAACATGCATATTATATTGACCTTTAGTACAATACTTTCTACTTGAGTCTACGAAGCGATTATGTGACCTTGTTTTCGATAGTTTAATATATATTTGGGTTTTACCTATCCTTTGTGGCCTGTAGTCCTATGAGGAGAACTAACGTGCCTAGGCACCGCTTAAAGATTTCATTGTTATTGTATTTTATATAATAAGTTGTTGTTATATAAAAAATCTAATATATGTAATAATATATTTTATAATCATTAAATAATGTAAAGGCTTTATAAACTCCTCTAATTTTTCATTAAGATCTTAAAGGCTTGAAGTGTGGAATAGACTTGATCCAAGTAAACTTAATCAACTTGATTATAAACTTTATCAAAATTTTTCATATTTTCTATTGTAAGAATTTGATTTTATTCATCCTCGCTATTACCACCATTTATATTATAATAATCGTCCTTTGAATATCAAGGAGAGGGACACCCAGGATTTTAGGATTTCTCGATTCGTGATCATCTTATCACGTGATAGGAGTCGATTTCGACCGTTAATTTTTAAAAAACTTATTCAAATCAAAATCAATTCATATTATAGAAATATTTAAAAATATATTTAGCTTAAAAAATAAATTAACCACAAAAAGAAAATAAAAATTTATGATTACAAAATCAATGAATCAATCAGACTTATGTAAATAATCAATCAACAGGTCAATTAAAATTAACAAGATTATCATTTATTCGTTATAAAACATGGGAAGTTTTTAGAAAAGGAATATAGGTTTTATGAATATAATAATGACAATAATTTATTCACAAATTTGTAAAATTCTAGCCTTGTAATGATATTTGAATATATGAAGCTAATAACCAAATCAATAAATTCCGTTCGTTACGATAAATACATAAATTAGAACCAATCCAATATAAATGTTTTTTTTGACATGTATTTTAGTGCTCACACATATTGTAACTGTAGCAACACATTACTTATTTGCATTCATTCTCATGTGACTATAAATAATTACAGAGGTTACTATCAAATAGTGTAATTTTCAAGCCCTTGGTAGCTTTTTTTCTTTGACATTGAACACAAGTCTTTGTCTTGGGTGCGCGATTTGTTAAATTTTGCCTTTACTACTAGTTAAGAAAAAGTTTCCTTCTTTGCAAGATCCTATATTAAATCGGGGAGGATTACAATGACTAAAACCCAACCTTATTTTTATCACTAATAGATAATAATGATTATAATTATCAAATAATTGATCATTTAAATACTGTGGCACTCTCTTGGGATTGTATCAGGCGGATCATACAATACAATGCGGCTGTGATTCAGCAAGTGTCTTTATCAGAATCCAGTGCATAATAGTCACGTTTATTCTGGCTTCTCTTTATGTGGCACCCAGTTCATGGGTGTCTCAGATGATACGGTGCGGCTGTGGTCCCTCAAGGCTCTCGAACAGGGTTTGCGCATTCTGAAAGTATATGCTCCATATGTTTGCTCCGATCTTCTATTGAGATGGTGCTCAAGTGGCATATAGTGTAGTCTTTTCTCCGGTGATACTCAACTGACATCTTGCTGTGATGACAATAAAACTCGATTATTATCACTCAGGACTCCAAATTAAGATCTGCGCATTCTAAGAAATGTTAATAATACTGTACGGCTGTGGACCTTTAAGACCCAATCAAGATCCAAGCACTAATAGAACATATCAGTTATATATATCCCAATTATGTTAATACTTCGGTGGCGTCTAGTAGCCAAGACAGTACGGTGTGGCTGTGTCCTTAAGATCTTCGATTCGGATTCGCGCGTTTTACGAAGTATTGATAACGTTAATGCCGTGACCTCTCCCCGAATAGTAGCAATAATAAGATGTAACTTTGATTCTTCAAGGCCCTCAATCAGGATCCACGTATTCTAGAAGGACATATTGATTACATTATACTGTATGGATGGCACCTAACTGGCATCGGGCAGCTCAGAAATTACGATAAGATTGAGTTCCCTAAAGATCTCGGATCAAGAACGCGAATATTGAAAGGACATATTAAACAGTTTGAAGTGTAGATATATCCTAGAATACGCTAACCGTGATCGGGTCTTGAACTACAGCAACACCGTATTTGTAAGCACCCAATGCCAATCGGGCGCCGAGTGGTAAGAAGCCCACAGTATAGACATGATAAATATGTCCTAGAATTAGCGGGTCCTGATTGGTGTCTTGAGTAACCACTGCCACATCCTATTATTATCACCGCCAAATGCAGGTTTGGGTGCCATCTGGAGGGGTTACGAGTCTGACCCATCGGTATGTCTTCGAAGACACGTATGTTCTCTGGAATCTCATCATCATGTAAATAAAGTTCGTTGATAATAATGACGAGTAAAGCATCTGGAAATAAGAACAGCATTGCTTATAAAGATATATGCTTCGCTAGATCTACACATCGTAATCATTCTCTTTGGAAATTTATTTACGCCCGTAAAATTAAGTATGATTAAGTTAAATCCGCACCAGTTAATAATTAATATTATTAAATCATAGTCGCTTGGAATATTCGGCTTTATTGATAATTTATCAAGCCCGGTATAACTTGCAAAACCGTTTTAGATTAGGGGCGGGCAATAAGTAACCCGAATTAGAAGTACACCTCACTTCGATTGACATCACAGCCTCACGCTTCCCACGGTATCTCATTTTTTTTGATATTTCCAAATTCTTCCACGGAAAAGAGCGCTGCTTGAATAAATTTTGTTGATAGTTTGTGTTTATATATTCAACAATATACTTTGATCTTGAAGTTTATCTTATCATGTCTAACTGGTTGCTTGTTTCAAATTATTTTAATATTTCATCGGAAAGTGTAGTTGGATAATCTCATCCTTTTAAGGATAATCCGTCGATCTCGCTTTCTAATTTCCAAATTAAAGGGCTGATTGGAATATAGGACATTTTCCTCTTAGTAACACATGCATGTCTTTAATTTTGCATCCTGCTCAAGTTCGCTCAGAAATTAATCCTAACATTGCTAAAGGTTTTTGGAATATTTAATACCAAACTCTAATAAGCTAAGATCAAAGAAGACCAATCACAATTCGGAATTAACATCGACAATCGAGAGAACTTTCTGTGCATTGCTTCATAGTAATTTTTCGAATTCCAATTTTCCTGGTTCGCTAGCCGATGTAAGATCACCAAACCATTGTTTTCCTCTAATGTTGACCCCATGAGTTTAATTTTGATAAAGATAGATTAATATCCGATTGCTTTGTTGCGAACTTAAATCTCGCCATGTACAGGAAAAACCTCACAAGTTTTGGAACAAGCCTATTATTAAAAAAAAACTGGTTCTTATTATAAGATACCAATGAACGAACTGTTCGAGTTATGCTGATTTCTTGAACAATAAAAATACCATCTCTTCTGTAATACATGACCCGTCTCGATTATTTTTGAACAGGACTTGTGATTTCAAAAACATTCAGAACGTCTTTCCAAAATCTCTGGTAAGTATTTCTGACTGCACTGAGTAAATCGGTAGTTCTAAAAGCTGCTTTAAAATTTTGGTGTATATCTTTCTCGCACAATTTCTCGTTATTTAAAGTATGTGATATATGTAGTGGGCATGGCAAGCCAATACTGGATTGGTTTTAACCCTTTAGACTGTTGATAGAACGTCGTACGTAGTTGTTCACAATTGATGTCTTAAAATTGTCTCGTAACATGGCGTCTGATAGCAGGAAGATTGTAGAATTCGAATCCTGTGTCTCATTATCTCATCGTGAAGATTTTTTCGACGATTATATATTGGGTTAGCTTGAACAATTCTTAAGAACGTGTCAGGCTCATTTAACAGACAGTCAGAATGCTTCAGTATTGTGTAATAAATGATTGAATGCGTTTCTCCAAAATTTTTTTATTGAATCTTCTTTTTTTGCTCGGAATACAACAGAGTAAAAATCAACAGGTCATTTCATCCGTTTTAATTCCTCCTGTGCATGCAGTCCTACAAGTTTGTCACTTGTTGTATTTGTTCAAGAGAATGATTATTTGTTCCGGAGAATGATCATTAGACCGTAGATAAATGTGTCAAAATCCTGGATCCAGAATTTCCTCAAACGTTGAATACGACTTTAATGTCACGCTTGAGTAAAAAAACTCCAATTTCAGTAACTCATATTAACTCCTTGAAGTCTGGGGCGTTGTCTGCACAAGAAAGCCAGTGTTGTAATCTATTCGGACTAATCAAAATGTCTCAGTGCGTAAGTTTGCGATTGCAAGAAAATTTTCAATGTTTCTAGATAGCGTTTTAAAGCTTGTTATAACGAGTATCTAGATTTCTTCTGGACCTGTGTATCTTTGCACTCTACGTAGACGATTTTTCACGTCATTAAATAGGGATAGCTTCGAGCCTTGAGCTCTTTATTTCTTTGTGAAAACCTTTATTATGTTCGTGATCTGCCGAGCCTTTGCTTTGTAATACCTATCGGGCATGTTTTTTCATAGCCCTTTACCTTTTATGACTGTATCACGTCACTCAATGATGATCGCTTAAGCCTTGTTGCATATTGCATAAAGCTTCGCCGTGGAGGTTTGGCAATCGAAATGCTAAGACCCAATTTAAAAAATAAACATTTCGAAATTATTTGTATACAATATTCTATACTCTCTTTAATAATAGTTAAACTATGAAGATTTTTTTATTTCAGATACAAAAATAAAATTTTTAATTTTCGATATTTCAAAATTAATTGATTACAGATATTTAAACAAATCATGCAATACTTTAATATATGTCGTTTATAATTTATCCAAAAAAAAAATTTTTTTTAATAAGAATCCGTAATTATAAAACAAAACAATTAATTGTTTATGTGTGCTGTGACCCTTTTGTATGTTTTGATAATGCAACTGGAGTTGTGATAAAAATTTTTTTTTAAAATTATTATCACTTTAGTTTTATATAAAATTACATCATATCAATATTTATTTTTTCTTATTAATAATAAATTTTATATTTCGTTTAATAAATTTTATTAAGAAATTTTTTTATTAATAAATTTTATATTTCGTTTAATAAATTTTATTAATAAATATTTTTATAGTTTTTGTATTATTTATAATTTATTTGAACTTTACCAAAAATGCATGCAAATATTTCGAATATAAATATTAATTTAATCAAATAAAAGTATATGAATTAAACTGTAATCAATTTACAATTATCTTATTTAATTAATAACTATGCGAAAGAATTTTTTTTTAAAAAAAATATTATTAAATTTTAAATTCTTAAAAGATGAAAAATCTTGATTAAAAAAATTTATAAGCATTTAAATAAAACTATATATATAATACAAATTATAAAAATATACAATAAAAATTTTAATACAAGATTTTATTTTTAATTTGCAATTAGATTGAAATTATTTATTTATTTAATTATAGAACTACTAAAAGTATAATAATATATATAAAGTATAATAAATCTTCTTAATCCAACTTATATATTAATAGCAAAAATCTTTAAATATAATTTATAACAATGTTATATTGTTTTTTTATCAAATAAAACATGTAAATATGATTCCAAAAATCAGATCTGCTAGAATTGTATAGACTTGTATAAGGTTGTAAACATTATTAAAAATTATAATAAAGTATAACTTATATATTAAATTTAATATAAACTTGAAAATTTGAATTAAATCAAATTAAATCAAATTGTTAAGTTCTTATCTACAGATTATTTCTACAATTATAACTAATTATATTATTTTTTTGCAAAAATTATATAAAAATAAAAAAAATAAAAATAAATAATAAATATAAATATCTATAAAAGAAAAGATAAAAAAAAACAATTATTTATTTTAACTATTATTAAAAAAATTATTCTTGTAAACAAAAATAAAACCTTTTATAATTATTAATTTATTTGTTTTTTATTATTTGTAATTAATCAATTTACAATAAAAATTAATTATCTTATATATTTGACTAATTCTTTTTGAAAATAATAAAAATATTATATGCAAATTTTTTATTTTTCTTTTTTAAACAATATATAGTATAATTTATAATTTTTTGAAAATTTTTTGATTTTATATTTTATCTTATAATTAAATAAAAAAAATCCTTGAAAATTTATTAAAAAATATTTATTTTAAGATTTTATATAATATATAAAAATTTAGAAAAAAGTTTTTTTGAACTGTTATAAACAATTATATTTTTAAAAAATTTTATTAAAATACTTTATAAGAAAAGCTTAAACAAAAAGTTTTTAAAAGACCTAAAAAAAATAAAATTTAAATTTTGTATAAAACAAATAAGTTTTTATGATATAATAAAAAAAATATGGATTTTTTTACATTTTCAAAATATTTTTTATATTAAATTTTTATATTCAAAAAATCAATAAATTCTATATTCAAAAAATATTTTGAAAATATTTTATTAAGATATTTTATAAGATAAGCCTAAACAAACTTGTTTTTTATATTATAAACAAGTAATTCATAAAAATGTTTTTTTATAAAAATTTAAAAAATCATATTATGTTTTTATAATAACTCATATATAAAACTTTGGCAAATTTGTTTTATTAATATTTGTTACTTACATTAAATATAAATTTTAAGTATAAAAACAATAAAAAATTTTAAAAATGTTCTTAAGTAATCTTAAACTATAGATTTTTAAAAATATTTTTATAAATTTTTATAATATTTAAATAATTATTAATAGAATTATATTAAAAAATCAATTTTTAAAAATTATGAATTGCCCTATATATACAATATAAATTCTAGAAGTATAATTATAAAGTCTGAAATGAGAATGCTGGCTAACACTAACCACACAAATAGCCAAAAAATATCAAATTAATATTTGCCCCCACTCTTGTCCATTCGAAATATCAAACCACAACCTTTCTATCGGGCTCACAACTAGTATCAATAAACTCACTACACTTTCTCTCTTCTACACAAATATTAAAACCACAAAGGATACCTACGCATATAACACTAACAATAAACTCTCATGGGATGAGCTGCACACTCATAGAGGATATATATTCTCGTGCCCCATTCAAACTGGTTCAAGAACATATCATCAACAAATCAAGCAATCACTGGAAATTCACTTCCAATACCCAACTCAAAACCTCAATTCCGGGCATATATCAACAGTGAAACAGTTGACTTGATCAAAACCAGAAAGAATGCAATCCAATAGCAAATAGTCAAAGGACAGCACTACCAAGTCCTACCTAACAAAAAAATCCAACGATGTTCCTGCAATATACAATCTTGTATCGTAGAAAAAGACTTTGTCAACACCAAGTCAAAATGGACAACAACACGTAACAATTACCCATTTTTATTGAACAATATTGAAGAACTACTCTTTTTTCTCTCTAATTCTCCATGCCCTCTACCACAAATTACAATAACCAAACCTCCTACAACCTTATCATCTCTTATAACAATCAACATTTATTTCCTTAACAGAAAAATTATTATCCAAAAACCCAATGTTAATATACTCTACAATCTTAATACCAATCCATGGGCAGGATTCTGGCCCATCTTATTAAAAACTATACAAGAAACCCCCACCAATTCAACAATTAGGTGCCAATTACAGACCCAACCAAACCTAAAAATATCAGAATATACCAATCGTCAAGTCAAAATCCCATATAGCAGATATATTAGAATTATAAACTTCTAGCTGCATAACAAAAATATAACAATCAAATGGATCACAAAAAAAGAACACAAGAGTCCCCCACCTCCAGATCCTATCAACAGCCTCCCAATTCCACAAATATTTCCAGAAACATATGATACCTCACCCCTAATCAACTATATACATGCCACCAGCATCACATACTGGATAAAATTTGTCAATTACTACACTAATTTTTTTGACATCCTTCTAAGCCAGTCAGTAGTTTATAAGACCGTTTCAAGATCTACATTAGAACTTATTTACAATGCCAACAAAAGACTTAGAGAAAGCGATCAATTGAAATTCAAAAGTTTGTCAGTGTTCAGAACCAACTTATTGCAAATCAGCTGCCCATAAGAACCAAACTCCACAGAAGATATCCAAGTCTATATGAAAGTAATCTCTGCCCATGATGTGAAGCCTACCTAGAGAACCAAAAGCATATCTTCCTTTGCATTCATACCAAACGGACAATCGAAAAGAAAAAAGAAAAACTCATAGACTATCTAAACAAAAGCTCATATCAAGCAAACACCAAAAACAGACCCCTACCAACATTTGTATCACTATCAACATTGGAGATAATGAATCTTGCACTCAGAAATCTACAATCGCCCTTAGACAAAATTCAAAACAACAAAGGTGGCATATCAAACAAGGCACTTAAAATTCTCTACAAAGTTTGGAAAGAGCGATCAGCGACAGCTACCACATCACCGACCTCAGGAGTCAAATGGAAA